ATTTCCCATAAACCCCAAGACAAACAAGTTATGGGAAAAAGTGAATATAACTTGCAGTCACTGTAACTCCACTATAAATAATACTTAATTATAATAATGAAGTCATTGACCAATCAAAAATCGTGTACCTGTTATGGAGAACCAATGCTGAAGGGGAGAGGGAGAGAACTGAAAAGCAATGTATAAAAGAGGTCAATCCTCAACTGCCTCATTAAAAAGTCAACAGATAAGTGACAAATGAAGAAACAGCATCATAAATAATATTTAAAAATACAGAGGTAAATACCAGAAGAAACTGCTAAAAGAATTCAAACCAGGTGCCTCTGGGACTACTGACCCACATCTTTCTCTAGAGGCTTGACCTCATTGGTTGGCTTTTTAACAGTAATTAAACCCATAAACCTTTGTAAGAAACAACCATTTATAATATCAAGTAGCATGAAATACCTCTCCATATATTTTTACATTCTTTTATGTCTAAATTAAATCATTTTTCCAAGAATTAAGTCCAGTTAATATCCAATACCATACAGTTACAAAATTCTTTTTCTTAGAAGTTTCAAGATCCACTCTTCTACTTTCAAATATGCAATATGGTATCATTAACTATAATCACCATGCTATACATTACATCCCCACAACTTATTTTATAACTGCAAATTTGTACCTTTTGACCCCCTTCACCCATTTTGCCCACCTGCACCCTTGGTCTTGGGCAACTGTCAATCTGTTACTTATATACATGAGCTCAGTTTTTCATCTTTAGGTTCCACATGTGAGATCATATGGTATTTATTTTTTTATGTCTGACTTATTTCACTTAGCATAATGCCCTCAATGTCTATCAGTGTTGTCATAAATGGGAAGATTTCATTTCTATGGCTGAGTATTATATTTAAATATAGATACACACACATATTATGTTTTCTTTATCTATTCAGCCATCGATGGACACTTAGGTTGCTTCCACATCTTGGCTACTGTAAATAATGCTGCAATGAACATGGGGGTACAGATACGTTTTGAATTAGTGCTTTCATCTTCTTCAGATACTCAGAAGTAGAATTGCTGGATTATACAGTAGCTGTATTTTCAATTTTCTTGAGGAACCTCTACATTGTTTTCCACAGTGGCTATACAATTTGTATTTCCCCCACCCAAAAAATTTTTTTAAATAAATAAAAAAATAAAACATGTGTATAAGCATGAAAAAAATTTACATTCTCACCAACAGTGCACGAGGGTTCCCTTTTCTCCATATCTTTACCAACTTGCTATCTCTTGTCTTTTTGATAATGGCCATTCTAAGAGGTGTGAGGTGATATCTCACTGGGGTTTTGATTTGCACTTCCCTGACAACTGGTGATGCTGAGTAGCTTTTCATGCACCTGCTGGCCAGCTGTATGTCTTCTTTGGAAAAATGTTTGTTCAGATCCTCTGCCCATTTGTTAACCACAATGTCTTCTGCCACTGAGTTGTATGGGTTCTTTATATATGTGGATCTTAGCCCCTTATATCAGATATATGATTCACAAATATTTTCTGACATTCAGGAGGCAACCCACAACTCTTTAAGGTAGTGTTTTATTTAGGCCACTAGGTAGAATGCAACAAACTGTAACAGCTGTAACAAAGAAATTCAGAAATGCAATGGCTTAAGTAAGACAGAAGTTTATTTCTCTCTCACCTAACAGCTCAAAGTGAAGGAGTCGTCCTCATTTGGTGTCTACCTCTGGATCCACGGCTGCTGCTTCAATTCTTGTCATTTCCCAGCCAAAGAGAAACAGGAATTGAGGACATTCAGAGCAAATAACTGTCTTTAAGAAGAAGACCCAGAAGTTGCCCACAACTCTTCCTTCCAAATACCAGGGTCCCAAGCGTAGTCACAGAGCCACATCCAAGTGCATCTTGCTAGGGAATGCAGTTGGGGTGGGGTGTCATGGGTTAGCTGACATAGGGGTGGGACCAGAAAGCTCAAAAGAAGAAAAAAAAATGACTACTGGGGTATAGTTAGCAGTCTTTGTCACAGGTAAGTATTATCATCCCTCCTTCTTAAATGAGGAAATTGAGATTCAGAGCTATCTGCCAAAGGTCCCATAGCTAATAATAATTAAGCCAAGATTCAACTGCATATTCTGTCTCTAGATCCTATACTATTTCTACTAAATCATGCTAAGTGACAAAAGGGATACATATTATTTTTAAATTTCTTGCTAGGAGCGCCTGGGTGGCTCAGTCGGTTAAGTGTCTGCCTTTGGCTCAGGTCATGATTTCAGGGTCCTAGGACTGAGCCCCACACTGTGTTCCCTACTCAGCGGGGAGTCTACTTCTCTCTTTCCCCCTGCCTCTCCCCCCCACCCCCACTCATGCTCTCTCTCTCAAATAAAATCTTATTTCCTGCTAAATACAGCACAACTGGATTGGTTCTAACCAAACACTCCTGGATATCCAAAAGTAGTTGCCTCCCCACCCACAGCAGAAATGACCTGTCCACTTCCATCTGAGGGGTTTAACCTGCCCATGGAAATAGTAATGATCTCCCAAAGGCAGCAAAACATTGCCATGCAAGACAATGCTGACTGTCCTCAGGACTCACCTCTCCCACCCCTCTATGTTTCTAGACCTATAACCAGACTCAAGTCCCACCAGGTACCTAGAGGTGGGATACAAAGTGTGACTCATGAGGAAGTGCACTATATTTCAAAAGAACTACTTGGGTTTTCTAATTTATACAAGAAGAAATCTAAGGAACATGTATAGGAATGGATATTTAAGGCCGTGGAATAACAGTGGAAGAAATATCAAGTTGGATCAAGCTGAATTGATTGGTACGAGCTCACAAAGAAGAAATTCTGCATTTAATGTTGCAGCTCAGGGAGTTAGCAAAGGCTCTAACAATTGGTCAGTTCATTGTTTGGTTGGCTGAAAGGCAGATCAAAATATGCTGTGCCTGTGAGCAGCCTGGAAATGCCCAAGCTTCCTTGATTTAATGCAGAGGAAGGGATTCAAAGGCTCAGGGAGACCAGACTATTAGAGTGGACTGTCATTTAAGATCAGCTCACTTGGGGCACCTGGGTGGCTCAGTGGGTTAAGCCTCTGCCTTTGGCACAGGTCATGATCCCAGGGTCCTGGGATCAAGCCCCACATCAGGCTCTCTGCTTGGCGGGGAGCCTGCTTCCCCCTCTCGCTCTCTCTGCCTGCCTCTCTGCCTGCTTGTGATCTCTCTGTCTCTCTGTCAAAAAAAAAAAAAAAAAAAAAAGATCAGCTCACTCAGTGGGGGAGGATCCAGAAGATGTAATTTTCACCCATACATTGAGAAATAAATTTGTGAGGAGAGGCCCCGGCCTTCTTGAAGAGCTCCATTAATTGCTCTCTTCTATAAGCCAGACCTTACACTGGGAACTGCAGCCAACTCAACTGGAAAACCTGAAAGCAATGGGAGTAATTGGATCCCAGAAGGGCAGCAGCCAAGTGACAGCACTCAACAGCCAAACGCAAGGTGAGTATAGTTACTGTAATGGACAGCAGCCAAAACCGCCATCAGAACAGCAGGAGTCTTCCAGGCCTATGGCACTGGCTGGTTATTCATGGTGCTGCCAGAAGTGATGTAGATACGAAGTCTACTAAATTCCCACCTGATCTGCAGAAGCAGAAAAAGATTAGGTCAAGTGAACAAAAGTCTAACTCAAAACACAAATAGAGCCATGGTCCTCCAGTCAATTCCCAGACTTGAGTCAGTTTACAGATCTAGAGTCCCTCCCCCTTTTCTAAAGTAGGCTCCATGCCCACCATGGAACCCAACATGGGGCTTGAACTCAAGATTCTGAGGTCAAGACCTGAGCTGAGATCAAGAATCAGATGCTGAACCGACCAAGCCCCCCAGCTGTCCCCAGATCCAGAAATGAAGGGAAGGCCCAGTCCCCTTGAGGAAGGACCCTGGCACACTACTGAAAATGAATACAGTTAATGGTTCTCCCAGCATCTCTTCAAAGACACCTACAGAGGCCTTTCATAAACTGTGTACTGGGGAAATGGAAATAATTACACCTTTCAAGACTAATGGATACTGGGTCTGAAATGACACAGCCTCCAGGAAACCCAAAACATCATGTGGCCCTCCAGTCAGAGTATGGGCTTATACAGAGGTCAGGTGATCGATGGAGTTTTGGCTCAGAACTGTCTCACATGGGCCCAGGGGTCCCCAAATCTATCATGCAGTTATTTCCCCAGTGCCAGAATGCATAACTAGAATACGCATACTTAGCAGCTGGCAGAATCCCCACATGGGTTCCCTGAACTGTGCAATGAGGGGTTACATGGGAAAGGCCAAGTGGAAGCCGGGAGAACTAACCAAGGAAAATAGTAAATCAGAAATACCACATCCCTACAAGGATTGCCGAGTTTACTGCTACCATCAAGGAGCTGAGAGCTGTGGGGGGAGGGATGCCTACCACATCCCCGTGAAAATCCTACTGGAGAGAAGACAGACGGATCCTGAAGAACAATGGACCATTTGAAGTTAACCAAGTGAGAACTCCAATTATAGCTGCTGCGCTAGATGTTCTCCCACTGCATGAGTGAATGCATCGTGCTGGGAGCTGGCATGCAGCTACTGATCTAGCAAATACCCTTTTCCGAAGACCTGTCCAGAAGGCCCACCAGAAGCAGTTTGCTTTCAGCTGCCAAGGTCGGTGATACATCCTTACTGTCTTACCTCAGGAGCATATCAACTCTCCAGCTGTAAGGCATAACTCAGTTCCCAGAGACCTGGATCTCCTTTCCTTTGCACAAGATCTTCCACTGGTCCATTACATCGATGGCATTGTGGTGACCAGGCCCTACTGAAGGAAAAGTAGGAACTACTCTAGCCTGGCTGGTAAGACACATCGAGGCATGCTGACCACCCATCCTCTCCGAGATGAAGGGCAAATTGTATCTGGTCCCTCCTACAACCCAAGAAACATACTCCTCATTTGGGTGTATGACTCCAGCCCACTTACCCAGTGACTGGAAAAGCTGCTGGTTTGACTGGGGCTGTGCCCATTGGGTCACGTGATGCAGCGGATCCCATGGCGTCTGAAGTGTCAGTGGCAGATGTGAATGTGTTTGGAGCATCTTGCGGTCCCCTGAAAGTGAGTCACCACAGGCCTTCAGGATTTTGGAGTAAGGCCTGCCATCACCCTCAGACAATTACTCTCCTTTTAAGACATATTCTTAGCCTGCTACAGGGCCTTCGTAAATATTAAATGCTTGGCTATGGGCCCCAAATTACCATAAGACCTGAGCCGCCCATCCCAAACAGAGTGTAATGTGACCCACCAAACACACAGCTTGGCGTGCACAGCCACACTCCATCATCAAATGTACGTGGTGCACACGTGGTCAGGCCCAAGCAGGCCCTGAAAGCATAAGACAGACACATGAAGTGGCCCAAACGCCTATGGCCCTCACTCCTGCTACTCTGCCTTTTCTCTCCCCGCCTGCACGTACAGCTTCATGGGGAGTTCCTTATGATTTGCTAACAGATGGAGACTCAAGCCTGTCTACAGACAGGTTGCCTGACAAGCAGGCACTGCCAGAAATGGCACTACCCCTCCTCCTCTGGGGCATGGCTCAAGGACAACAGTGAAGGGAAAGCCTCTCCGTGGACAGACTCAGAGCAGCGCATCTGGCTGTGCACTATGCTTGGAAGAAGAAATGACCAGATACTCGACTCCAATAGTTCGTGGGCTGTAGCCAGTGGTTTGGCCGGATGGTCAGGGACATGGGAGAAAGAGAATCAGAAAACTGGGAACAAAGAAACCTGGGAAAGACGAATGTGACCAGACCTCTCTAAATGGGCAAAATGTATGAAGCTATCTGGGTTCCATGTGAATACTCACCGAGGGTAACTTTAGCAGAGGAGGATTTTAACAATCAAGTGGCTAAGACAATCTGTTCTGTGGCTATCAGTTAGCCTCTTTCACCAGCAATCCCCAGGTCAACTGGCAAGCTCATGAAGGTATTCGTGGTGGCAATGCTAGAGGATATGCATGGGCTCAGCAACACACACTTCCACTCACCAAGGCTGACATGGCTACAGCCATCACTGAATGTCCAATCTGCCAGCTGTAGGGAACAAAACTGAGCCCCTAATATGACACAATTCCCCAGGACACTAGGCCACTTCCATTATAGGAGAGTCAGCATTGTATCCTTACTGGAATGAACACCCTTGGATATCGATTTCCCTTCCTTAAACACAAGGGTTCTGCCAAAACTACCATCCGTGGATTATAAAATACCTTATCCACCATCATGGTATTTTGCATTGCTTTTGATCAAGGAACTCACCTCAGAGGAAAAGAAATGCAACTATGGGCCTATATTCTTGGAACTCATTGGGCTTACCATGTTGCCTATAATCCTAAAGGAGCTAGCTTGATACAACAGTGGAATGGCAATAAAAATAAACTACTTGGTGTATGTCAAGGACAACAGTATTTTTCATACTTGCTTGATTTGTCCACATGAAAAATAATTTTAAATGATGGCTAGTCTTGGTTAGTGTCTCACAAAATTTTCATGAGCAATTCAGGCATTATTGTTAAGAACAAGTGAATTAATGTAAGTGGGATTAAAGTTTATAAATGAGCTATTTAAAACAATCATTATGTTTTATAATATGTCTACTTAAAAAGTTTCAAAAATTTTCTTGGAAAAAACTTAGCTATACTAAGTTAAATGATGGATAGTCATTGAATATCTTGACCATTTTCAAATAACATAAAGCACTGAAACATTAATTGTTAAACACAAGTTTATATACTTCTTGCTTCTTAAATTTTATACAGAGACAAAAGATATTTAGCTCTGTTAGCAAACATGTCCTTGGCTGCACTGGAAAGTTGTACTTAAAGGAGGTATATGCCTCTAGAAATTGTGAAATAGTGTATTCATAAATTTACAGTTCATAGTTGTCTATTCCCTAGTTTTCACTGAAAATTAAGGCTACTAAAGATTAAAAATTCTTATCGACTACGTAAATGAAACTACTAAAAATAATATAGACAACGAAGAAGAAAAATATACAAAGTATGCAAGGAAAATAAGATGTGTTTGTGGTAAGAAAAAGTATACAAGGTATAAAGGATTATGATTTTGTTGAGAGAGAGTAATTTGTCCTAATACAGGATATGACTGGCTGTTCTAGAAAGAGAAAAAGGAAAATAGGACAAAAACTGAGTAGATACTTTATTTATTTTGTGTTTATTTATTTATTGTGTATTCAAGCTGCTAAGATTAAATAGACTCATTTGTTAGTCCAAAAAAAAAAGATGGGGGTACCTGGGTGGCTCAGTCAGTTAGGCATAGGACTCCTGATTTTGGCTCAGATCATGATCTCAGGGTTGTGAGACTGAGCCATACATCAGTCTCCACACTCAGCAGGGAGCCTGCTTGAGATTCTCTTTCTCCCTCTCCCTCTGCCCCTCTATATGAGTGCTCTCTCTCAAATAAATAAATCTTTAAAAAAAAAAAAAAAGATGAACCTTAATATCAGAAGTATACTGATGTAAAAGTAGAATGACAGATTTTCTTGGATTATTGTTCTGCTTTCATTAAGAAACTGAAAAAAGATTGTTATCTTTTAAGAAATCTTCCTGGGAACCAAAGTTTTGTGTGTTATCAGAATGATTTCCTAGACTTCATGTTGTCTTTATCGGGTCCTAGATTACTTAAGAAAACCAAACCTTCTCAATATTAAAAGAACTAAGGGTTTTAAGAACTTTTTTTGGTCACTTTGGTTAAATAGATAATCATGTGATGATCTGTGGTACTATTTAATCAAATATTCAAATCTTTTGACATTTTGACAAGCTTTCCAAAATCAAATTCAAAATAGTCTTTTTGAACTAAACTAGCCTTGTTATTTTAAAGAGGGTCCCTGGAAAATCTCAAAGGATTTGTTTCTCACTTTGTGAGAAATGTTAAACTAATTAAGTTTATTCAAATAAACTCCAGGGGAAGCGTTGTCAAATAAGTGATAGCTTTCTTTCAGTTTTATTTGTATGGATACATGCTATTAATGTAAGTATTTCAGAAATGTATGAAGTTCACAGAAATTTGTCAGTACTCTTTATGTTCATGATGTTTTGAGCATCATGTTATCAGTCACAATTCTGGTTATCACATTAAAGTATCATATGTCACTGAAACAAAGTTCCTTGACAGTTACATTAGAATGACCTCTCATCAGGTTTTTATCCATGGCCATTTTGCAGTATTTTGTCATTCAGAGACAAAAGACTTGTTTTCTTACTCCTGATCCTTCTCTGAAAGTGTCTGCAATCAGCTACAGGTGAGAATGCCAATGATGCCATCACTCTGATTTCACACCAGTGGACTAATCTTCCAAGCAATGAAGTTGATGGGGTCATAAAACTACTAATCAAAGATTAACCAGAATGATAATTAATTACCTGAGACTGAATTAACTGATGAGGAGGGTTATAATTTTCTAACAACTTTTTGAAACATTGCTCATTCTATAATTTTTGGGTTTCCTCTCAAACTATCTATAATTTACAGCAACTTGGTAAAGTATACTTCAGTGAAAAGAGATGAGACAATTAGTTTTTCTCCTCCCTGGTCCTTCCACAGCTCAGAACCTCTTACTATTTTTGTTTTCATGGCAATATAGTTATTTGCCTAAGTCCAATAAAAATCGGTTTTCCTTGTAACAGGAACCAACTGAAAACATTGATTATATTACCGAGGCTTTTACTCAACTGTCATACTTAGGAATGTTGTATACAATTATATATGACCAGACAGTTTTAAGGACAAAGATGGTCTTTATGCAGCCAGTGCTAATAAAAGTCTCTTGAGGAAAAAAAGTGGTGGGTAATTGGCTTACAGTCTTCCCAGCCTTAAGGTGAGTAAGGAATGCCACTTCCTAGGAGACCCAGGAAACTTAAAATATTTTGAGACTCTCAGAAAGAGAGGAATACAGCCAAATCTATAGGTACTGAAGGCAAAATCTAGTAGCAAGTTCCTGGCTTCCTAGCCATGAGAAGCTTCTAAATCTAATATGAGAGTCCTCATTAAAAATTCTAGCAAGGCAGACTTAAAAATTTGAGTCTAGTGCTCAGGGGATTAAGAGGTACCACCCTCCAGTTATAAAATAAGTGAGACAGGGCAGTGTAATGTACAGCATAGGGAATATAGTCAATAATATTTTAACAACTTTGTATGGTGATACAACATAACTTACTGTGGTGACCATTTTGTAATGTATACAAATATTGAATCTCTACGTTATACACCTGAAAAAAAAAATTTGAGTCTATATGGTCAATCCTCGTTCTTGCTGCACTTGTGTAAATAATCAGGACAAAGTTAATGAGACTAGCCTTATTTTGCAAACGAAACACCTTATCTTTGATAGAAATGGGAGTGACTACAGAAAGAAAAATAATGTTTCAGCAGCTAACTGAATCCACCTTGGGGGGTCTTAATTTCTAATCTTGTTCACTGAGTTTAAGGTTTTGTTATCTACCTATAAATTGGACTAGATCCTGAATTCTTCTGGCTTCCTCCAATATCTGGCTATAATTCCCCAAATTAACATTTCCAATTTTTCTCGAACCCTCCTGCCTTAGAAGCAGTGAGAACCCAAACTGTCCTTTTCTTGAAGCCCTGTAAGCTGAGGATAGCTGATTTGATTTAAACATCTGAGAAATCGCCCCAACAGATCACATGTGAGCAACCTTCCTGCCTGCAGCCATGTGGGCCACTCGGAAAGTTCACTGAAACACGTGGTGACCCCAGAGACATTCAAATTGCAAACCAGGAAAATCTGTCAGATTGTCTCTGCCTGTCCTTACTCCACCATCTCCAAGATGCTTTGAACCCAACATCTAGAAATCTTAACTGCCTGCCTTCTGGACTCAAAAATGGAGTTTAGAGTTTGTTCTAAACATTAATCTTTGTTTTTCTTTTGTCTCTAGAAAAATGTCTTCTTCAATGCCTGACTGCTCATACCACAGAGAGGTCTACTATAGGTGGGTATCTACTCCCACCTATATACTACCACCTCCTGAAATGAGACACAACTGTTTGACAGGACTGACCACTTCCCAGGACAGAAACTGGTTCCGTGGGTTGTGGGACAGTCTACCAACTCGGGGTTTGGACTATGAAATTTCTTGGAAAAGTTTCACATGGTGGAATGACAGGGTTCAGGACGTGCTACCCTGGAATATGGCACCTTGGCATATTGAATATTATATGACAGGGTTCAGGACATGCTACCCCAGAATATACAATATATTATAAACTGAAGGAATTTGAGAAATAGCACATGCAGGAAGAACTACCTGAACTTCCCCTGAAGTAGGTAATAAGGCCCTCAAATGAGAGGTGTCCTCCCTGTATCCAGAGGGAAGGAGCATACTTCTCTCTAAAGATGGAGGGACACCAAAAAGACTCTTGTTTTCCTCTGTTTGCTACTCTTAGCTCATACTCCTTTTTTTCCTATTGTATTTTTCATTTTCCCTCTACTTTTGATGAAACCTAGGATAAAAATTGGTTTTAACCATATTTTTTATCTTCATTTCCTTCTGATGCCTCCGCACATAAAATTTGTATTAAATAAATTTGTATGCTTTCTTTCAAAAGTCTTCTGTTATAGAGAACTTAGAAAGGAAACTGGTATTTTCTCCTCTACAATAAAGCACCAGATGACTTCCCAAAACAAACAAACAAAACAAAACAAAACAAAACAAAAAAAACCCCACTTCCCACTTCTGAATACTCCCCTTTCTGGAGGCTTATATTGACTGTCCTCTTGAGGAAGAAAGAGAAAAGTCTGAAAACAGATCTTTTAGTGGGGCATTTAGTATTGTTTTACCTTGACTCTTATTCTGAGATAAACAGGAGCCAAGAATTACTTAATCTGAGCATCGACTACCATGTGTAAGCTCAGGTAGGAGCAAATACTCTTAAGAATATTTATAATATTGGGGCACCTGGGTGACTCAGTGGGTTAAAGCCTTGGACTTCCGCTTGGGTCATGATCCCAGGTCCTGGGATTGAGCCCTGCATTGGGCTCTCTGCTCAGCAGGGAGCCTGATTCCCCCTCTCTCTCTGCCTGCCTCTCTGCCTACTTGTGATCTCTGTCAAAAAAAAAAAAAAAAAATCTTAAAAAAAAAGAATATTTATAATATTAAGGCTGAAATTACCATGAACATGTCAAAACTTACTTGTATTGGAATTTTGCAAAGTTCTGAGGATTTACCTTCTTCAAGGGCCTCAGTAATCTTCAAAGAGATGATAACTGTACCTCATCAGTTCTCTTCAGATTTTAGGCTCAAGAACAGTTTTTTTAATTAAAAGAAATTAGATAAGAGAAATTTTCCTTGTATCTGTTTTAACTCATGTTTTTAAGTAAAGAAATCATGCATTATCAAAAATGGTGTCTGTTCTATTTTTCAACTAATCTCCTTATTTAGCAATAAATATTAGGAGGGCACGTAGAAATAGAAAATAATTTTAGAGCAGTTTCCTAGATTCTTCTTTCCTTCATATAATGTGATTACCTACATAAGATATGTGTTTTCCTTTGTTCACTAAACATTGTTAAATACCATTTTAACAGGAAAGATGATTAATCCATATTTTTTACTTGGTTAAGGTTAACATTTTATCAAGTTATTATTTCTGTAGCAGGTGGTATTAATTCAATGATGCTGGCAGTGGCTTTCAGTTTGTGCTAAGAAAAAAGATGAGCATTTGAAGGGAAACAGTTGCTTGCTTTTAAGTGTGATGTTGAGTAATGACTAAGTACATTCATTTGCACAGTCAGTATAACCTCCAGAAAGATTTTTCCATGCCTTTTCCTCAAGTGGATCATGTGATCTGGTGTTTATCATTGACTTGAATACCTTCAAGTCTTACAAACCATGTAACGTGACCATGAAATCAATCAGCTGTTTCAAAGGTCTCTTTGCAAGCAGATTTTATTTTTTTATTCTGGGAGGGGGTGATATCAGGTTATTGCAATGAAGGCTGTACAGTCTATGTGTGTATACTGGAAACTTTTCTCCCCTTGCCTTCACGTTCTTTACAGTGACTCTCAATGCACAGATTTCTACACTACTTTTTAGTTGTCCTCTCCAAACAGTCCCTGCCAGCAAAGAGTTAGCTTTGTGCTAAGGCGAACAGGCCATTATGTTTTTAAAAATCAAACAGTGTGTATATTTTGTAGCTGTCTTTTATAGATTACAAAAAGTCAATGCCTGTGAGATTGTAACTTCTGCTCTTTCTTCTTTATTTTAGGGGTGATGGGGAAGGAGCTAATCTCTAAAGAATGGTGAAGTCTGTGAAGAACCTGCAGAGATTGTTATGGTAGCACATGGAACTGATGGATCTTGTGGATTTCTACACCTGCAATGTTCTCAACGTAGGTTTCCTCTAAAAACTGTCTGTGGGTCCTTTTTTCTTCTGCAGGACATGTGTACACAGTTGTTGTACAGGACCTTTAATATGCTGGCCTTAGACTGTGCTAATGTGAAATGCTTCTCAAATGATTTTCTTAAAAACTGGGTTGTTTTAACACTGAATGTCAGCATTATTATCTGATGAGAGCTACCTCTCCATTATACATGCATATACGTGTGAAATTACGAATGAGGCAGTAATGTGTGAAATACATGCCTAGTACTTTGGGAGCAGTGAGTTTATTTTTGGATAAAAAAGTTATTCTCAAATCTATTTAACAAATACATGCATGCCAAATGTCCAGGACGTGTATAGATCAATGTCTGATGCTGGCTAGAATTTAGAAACAGCTCTACATTCTCATCCCTGTCTTCAATGACCCACATCCTGTACTTGTTAGGTATAAGTGCTGTCGTGATTCAGAAGAGATCATCACTGACAATGAGATTAGAGAAAACGTGGACATAATGAACTGGGTTTCAGCTTTTGTTTCTAGGCTAAATTTGTATTACGCTTTTATAGATTTCAGAGAATGCAGGACACCACGTTCTGTTAAATAGTAGGCAGTACCTCAAAAGACACATATCAGTTGTCAGAGCAGCTTCACTGACCAAAAGATAACTTTAGATTTTGAAAAGGTCATTATTCTTTCATTTTATTTGGGTTATATTTGTATCCTGGACATAGATAATAATCTTCTCAAACTAAATTGGAGTCATCTAGACTATAAGATACACCAATCATGTCATAATCTGTCCTGGAGTTATCATCTCCAGTCCAACTTTGGTAATACTACTGATTTTAATTTTCCAATCCTGACAACCACTACTATGCTATATGAAGTGGACAATGGGGATAAGTTGTAGTCTTGCAAATATTTGAAAACTTTTCCCAGGAGCACCTAGGTGGCACAGCTAGCTAAGCAACCAACTCGATTTTGGCTCAGTTCATGATCTCAGGGTCATGAGATCAAGCTCTGCACTGACTGTGGAGCCTTCCTACGATTCTCTCTCCCTCTCCTCGCCTGCGCTCTCTCTTTAAAAAAATAAAATAAAATAAAAAATAAAATAAAATAAAATAAAAACACTTTTAAAATATCTCATCAGGTTTCAGACAGAACAAAGAATAAAAATTCCCGACAACACCCCAAAATTCCCCCAACGCCCGCTTTTTTTTGTTTTTGTTTTTTTCCTAAACCAAAGGTATACCTATTTCAAGTGACTCCAAACTGATGAGCCTTTTATGACTTAAAACCAATGAACCTTTTATGGCTCAAACATGGACACAACCAGGCTTCCCCAAAGAAGCTGCAGAAGATATAGTCCTCTCAAGATCTAGAGTCACCCCCAAAGATAGCCAAAAGAAAGACTAAGACAACACCCCTGAGAAGTAGCAATAGTGGGGAGGACATTAGCCACAAATGGGGTGCCACATCCCTGGCAACCCCAACCTGCATCTGGCCAACTGTACACACAAGTCCAATAACTCATATGCCCCAGCAGGGAGAAAGGCAAGCCAGGCTTTCAGGACAGGACACAAGGAGACAGACAGGAGATGGAGGAGAACAGCTGTCCCTGGGAGGGAGGGGATCCGGACTCAACTGGTTACCCAAAACCAAATTCATGAGAGTCACAATTCAAAGATCTGATTTTAACAACTATTTTTCTCTTGCTAATCTGAACTTGGAAAGGAAGGGAAAAAGAAAAATATTTCCTTCCTCTCTTTAGTGTAGACTGGGCACTACAGACAGAGATGTGGGAGAGCTGACAATGCAAGAAGTCTTACCTTTCCTGGACTTTTGTCAGTTTTCCCAAGATTCCATCTGCAGACTATGGATTGAGTGGGGTGCCCCAGCCATGCCCTCATGGTCACCAGAAACTATAGGGGAGGAAAATATCTTTTCTCTCTCCCTTCTAAAATTTGACTGGGTCTCTGTAACAGAAGACAGAGTAATAAGAGAAAAGCATACCAATTTATATAACATAAATGTTATGTGACAGAAGGACCTTCAGAAGGAAATTAAGACCAAAGAAATGTTTTTATACTAGATATGACAAGGAATAGAGTCATGGAAAAATGTGATGAGATAAAGAAGTAGTAAAATGGGGATACTTAGCAAGGACTATTCTTTGAATTCCCATTGGCATTACTCCATCAGAGATAAGGATGATCCTTTCCTCTGGGTTTAGTGAGGGCACCTCTCATATGTGGGTCTTATGACCTGTTTCGGGAGGAAGGTCAGAAAATCCTTCCTATACCTGCCATTTCTCAAATTCCTTCAGCTTAAAATATTCAACATGCCAAAGTGCCATATTTTGGGGTAGCATGTCCTGAACCCCATCATTCTCTTTCAAACAAGTTGTTTCTGGGGTATCTGGCTGGCTGAAACAAGTTATTTCTTATGACTCTCAATGGAAGAGTTTTGCCTGTTAGTAAGAATGGGTATATAAGTCCTCCTCAACCCCAGATTCAATGCAAAACACTTCAATCAAGCACACAACAACGTGGACTTCTTTGACAGTGCAAACCCAATGGCTGGAGATTCCCTAAAAATGCTGTATTATATATTTTTAAACTATTTTTAAATGTATGGCAGAGCCAGCTATAAAGACAGAGAAATGTTCTAAGGCAGAAATGGTAAGAAAGCACAAATCTAGAGGTGAGTTAGTTCTGAAACCAGCATGTCCTAGGCACATGTGCACAGTCCTGGTGGCTAGCACTTGAAGTGGGGAGAGGAGAAGCTATAGGAAACAGGATAACAGGAGGTGCAACTGGGGAGCCTAAGCAAAGCGCAGAGTCAGAGCACAGCCCCTCCCACAGAAAGCCCTAAAGGGGGGATAAATTAAAAATAATTCATCTTCAATAGGTACAAAAAATTGATCAAAAGAAGAAAAAAAAAAGATAAATGCATACAGGTAAATCTAAATACTGTATTATTTCTGGGGTTAAAAGATCAAGTCCCGGGATGCCTGTGTGGCTCAGTCAGTTAAGCATCTGCCTTTGGCTTGGGTCATGAAACCAGGGTCCTGGGATCGAGTCCTGCACAAGTCCCACATCAGGCTCCTTGCTCAGTGGGGCATTTAGTGCTCCCTCTGCTGCTCCCCCTGCTTGTGACTTGCACGTGCTCTCTCTCTCTCTCTCACAAATAAATAAAATGTTAAAAAAAAAAAATCAAGTCCCAGAACCCACAATACCAATAAAATTAGTTTATATCAGAAAAAGACTGATCTTGGATGGCTCAGTCAGTTAAGTGTCTGCCTTCGGCTCAAGTCATGATCCCAGCCAGGTCCTGGGATTGAGTCCTGCATTGGGCTCCCTGCTCCGTGGGGAATCTGATTTTCTTTCTGCCCCCCACCCCCAGCCCCAGCTCATGCTCTCTCTCAAATAAACAAAGTCTTTGAAAAAAATTATGTTATCTCATAGATGTGTAACTTATTTCAGTTAATTAAAATTTGTCAAAATTCAGAGTTGAGCATATAATCCCAAAATACAATGAAATAATATCTGTTGTATAAGATTATTTTGTGAATTTAGAAACTGATCCAAAAATCAGAATGTTCAGTAAAGCTTAGTAAGTCAAATGTTTCCCAATGATAGTGTTATAAGGGTTGACTCCAAGGACAAAAGAAAGTGAAAAACCCTTTGTTAGACAACCCACATATGGATTATCTGTGCCCTTGCCCCATCCCCACTTTAAATTGTCCATGGCCAATTTTAAATTCTGAGTAGACATTTTTCTCTTCTACACAGGACACTTCCAGAACTTCCCCATCTGTACATTTTAGAGAACAGAAATTTATTTCCATGCCTAAGATAAACTTCAAATCACAGATCTGCCCCTAAACTCCAATATAACCCAAAATACAGTATGAATGCTTTAACTTTTTGTTTCTCCCAGTACAAAGGTTTGGCTACGAACTTTAAAGCAGTATGTCACATAGTCAACAAGGTGATATAGTCCTCTCACCTGGAATAAAAGCTGAACTATTTCACAAGACACCAACTGGCAACCACTAAAACTAAAGAAGAAAGTTCTATTTGACTAGAAATGTAAAATCCCGCATGTACACACAGACTCTGATAGGGCACACGGACTTCCAGGAGTAGGAAGCTTCAACAGAACTGGACGATGTCTACACCTGAAGGCGTCAGAGCTTGCTGTCCGGCAGAGTAGTTAAGGGCTGTGGCCCTGAGGTTAGGATGCCCGGATTTGGATCCCAGCCCTGATGACAGTTTAACACAGGTAAGCTATTTAGCGTCCATATAGTCCAGACTCCATCTGGGAGGCAGGCACAACAGCCCTTAACAGGACTGCAGTAAGGATTAAATTAGATATGACTGATGTAAAAGCCCTCAGCATAATAATCACACGGTAAATATTTCATAACTGTGAGCTAGCCATGGAATTATTATCCTGTTTCTAATATTATTTTACAACGCCACACTACCAGAAGTGTCAAAAAGCACCTCAAGCAGTGGCTAAATAAATTATATTTTTATCACTCCCTGACAGGAAATAATGCAAATGCCCACCATATAGCATTCCGCAAACACAGTAACTAGATCCAATGCCAAGCAGCCACATATTAAATCATTAAAAATTATTAAGGCATCACAGTGGAGACTAATCTGCTCACTCAAGCCCAAAGAACTGATCACTAATAATCAAGTCACAGTATTGAGGGACTAATGAAAATTTTCTACAATACACTGCTGCAGTGACCTTGAGGGGGCAACCATAAAAAACCCCAATAAAGTCAAAAAGAATCAAGAACCATACAAAGTATGCTATGACCACAGCACTCCGATATGCCAGCCTCACAGCCTGGGCAGCTGGGGGCCGGCAGGAGCTAAGGGAGGCTCTTCACAACAGCTGAGTTCTCTCGTGCTCCACAGGAACAAGTACCCATAGCAGATAATTCTAGAAGTCTGGTTTGTGTTTGACATTGACAGCCTAAGAAAACCTTAGCAGTCTCAGGGAAAGTAACACCTATGCCCAAAACCTACAACTCGGGGATGAAAAGAAAAGACTGAAGAAAAACTGAATTCTTACACCACCCCTGGGGCCAAAACTATTTGAGACCCAACTGTGAACTGGCAGCTACCACCATCAGTATCACCTGCACCAACTCCTAGAACAGGAATCTAAGAACCGCTTACCCGTAGCCCCTAATTCACTCTTCATTTCTAAGCAGCCTTTTTGTCTCAGTTTAAAAAGATCGAGAATGTCTAACATTCTCTTTGCAGCAAATGGAAATGCATTCATCATTACTCCCCATTATCCTTTTCAGCTGGCAATAATGTGTGGTTGTAAAGCAGAAAAACAAGAAAGAGTCTGGGCGGTGTTGTCAAAGCTCAGATTCCAGTCCTGCCCTGTAGCCGGCTGTAATACGAGAAAGTTCCTGCTTCACATTCCAAAAGAAATTCATTCTTCTGTGATCAGCCCTCTACTTTAACTGCCACCTCTCTTTGTGTCATTGTTTTTATCCGCATGCACCAAATATTTTGTAAGCTTTTACTAAACTACTTTAAGCTAAAAGCTACATTATGGCACCATCCTTGAAAGAAACATTTATCCATAATACCCTGATTGCATTTCATACAAGTTTAAAGTGGAACACTACTGTGAGTGCGTGGATATTAAAAACAATTCTAGAAGCAACATGCTGCTTATACTCTCTAGGAAGTACCTGAGGGTAGACGCCAAATTTAAGGTTCTTTTGAAACACAGCGGAAAACGGTGTACAATCAAAAGCAGATGGGCTTTAGAATTTTAGTTCCACTGTCTGTGTTATAAATTTAGACAAATTACTTGATCTCTCCAAACTTTGGTTTCCTCACCATAAAAGGGAAATATAAATATCTACCTTAAATAAGGTTATTGCGAGGGCTGAATACAATGTCTCCTAAATGCCCTGTGCAGTGCCCAGTATGTAGCATATGATCAATAAATAGAAGCCAGTGTTATTAGAGACATTTTCAACAAGAGGAACACATGTAGTGGTGACTTACACTTTTGGGTGGAAAAAATTCATCATATTAACAGAACTTATTATTACTGTTCTAAAAAGAACAAGTGAAATCATAAGCTTCACAGGAGAACCTGTAACTCAATACCATAAATTAGGAGCACTTAACTTATGGCAAGGTGGAAGACAGGAACCTACAATTAAGAAGGGTTATATTTCATAAGAAGAGTATTTAAACAGCAACAACAAAAAAATGTAATGAGATTACGGAGGAAGGACCTGAAGAAGGAAGAAAGTCATGAAGCGGCTACACTGATATGTCAAGTTGAGAAAGGTCCTACCTCTCCCCATTATCATTTCTCCTCTTCTTAACTCCTCTAGGGAAGAAACATGTTCTTCAGAAACTGGGAGTCCAAAAAAAGTAAGTCTGAAGAGACCAGGTAAACAAGCAATCTCTATATATTAAACCATGTACTAACGCTCTAGACTGACAGGTTTTTGTTTGGTTCTACAAATTTCACTTCAAAATACATATACAATTTAAATAGTGTACCTTAGGAGCAGGTCTATTGGTCATCCACACCTTCCTCTGAATTAACATAATCAAATAATTAAGGAAAATTTCACTGGGAGGAGAGGTTAAGGTACTAGAGGGAGAGAGAAATGGGTGATACAGCAGAGCAGGGAACGAAAGAGCCTTAAGGGTTCCAGAGAGACCCATACTCGACAGATGTCCAAGTTACCAGCAAGGCTCCTTAGAATGAAACTAAACACTCCAGGTTACTCTGTTCTGAACACGAGGGAAACGGCTCCAGGGTCTGGTTCAGAAATAATCACATTGTACAGTCGGAGCCTCATGTCTAGTCATCTCAAATTTGATCCCATACACTGAAAAAATCTGTTAGACTACTGCCGAGTCTACATCCATAAATGGTTTTATATCTTAAGATGCAATTATTGGAGAAAATGTCTTTTTAAGGCAGTCCTCTTTGGAGAAGGTATCCACTGAAATACTACATTTTGTTTTCTACTCAAAACCTGAAGGAAATAACCCTTTGAAGAGGAAAGGGAGAAGCTGCTTCAAAATCCTGCACCTTCACTCCCCTTTCCAACTGTATCTTCCTAGTTATAGTCCAAAAGGCAAAAAAAAAAAAACAAAAACGTAATAAAATTGGAAATAATGCCATAGTTAAGTATACTGTTTCAATTTGATGAGATGAAATTTGCAATTGAAAAAAGGGCAGAGCTTATTCAGAAGGACCAGGCTTGTTGACCACAGAGATGAAGTAGCACTGTCTATGGTCAGAGATGTGCCCCTGCCTAGAGATAGTAAAGCTGAAGTAAGAAACCACATTGAACAGCTGTAGGCTGGCACGAAGTAGCTGGAGTGAGCATAAGCGAAGGGGAGAAAGAAAAAGGATCTCTAGTGACAGCTTCTGATTAAGACTCTCAGCCAGCAGCCAGGATACAGTATATAAACACTATCATTTTTAGTACTACGAGCCAGGCATTATGCAAATGAGTGCATGGCGTACCTCATCTCCTTTACTCCCTCTACTGGATATGTGCAGTGGGTATTAATATGCTTATTTTGCAGGTAAGGAAATAAAGGTGGACGATGCCTAAACCCCTGCAACCTTCTAAAGGACCCATTTACTTCCTACAATGTTTTCACGATGCCCCACAGAACCCTTACAATTCACTCTTGGAAGGATTTCCAAACTCCACCCTGTGCTTCTCAGACAACACTTGAGTTCCAACCGCTCCTATTTCTCTACTAACCTCCTCAGGAAAGAAAGCTCTCTCAAGCAACTTCTCCACATTCTCCACATTCTCCCCGACTTGAGATCCTCTGGAATATCCCCTGGGAATCATCTGATGGCTAGCTTGTACTTCGCTGTGAAATCTCTCCAGGTCCCAGGGGTAGCCCATGTTACTGTGGCCCTAAGCAGATATGCTGTCCACTTGTGCACACCATGGGACACACCCACTTCTCTCTGCCCACCCTCCCCCCAGTGTCACCAAGTGGCCTGACTATCATTTCCATTCTCTGGACTATCAATTCATACTCAATCCCTTAAGTAAGGACTCAAAATCACCCTCTCTTCAGAAAAGCCCTTTACTTCTCTTTAATCACTCTCATAGCAGAACCATACTGGATTGGAAATCAGATCCGGCTTCTAATGATGGTTCTTTGATTCACTGTGTTACCTGGACAAAATCATCCACCTTCCTGGGACTGGTTTCTCAACCACAAATGAGGAGAATTTGACGAAATAAGCTCAAAACTAATTCCTACCGCTTAAGAATTTTTTATGCAAAAAGGCTAGTAACAACTTATAAAAAAAAAGTTATAAAATTCTTAAATTATTCAAGGTACTTCAAATTTTAAAAATTAATACACCATATATAAAAACCATGAAAAACAGAACTTTTACATTTCAAAGGGTGACAAGGTTGATTTAATTGTCCATTTTCTATTCTTTATTTGACACATGAATGAAGACCCAGGTAATTCCTTGGAAGCTACTGGTCTATGAATACAGACATTATCCTCATCAGTACTCACTACCCAGTATTTTTTTTAAATATCTTTTATTTATTTATTTGACAGACAGAGATCACAAGTAGGCAGAGAGGCAGGCAGAGAGAGAGATGGGGAAGCAGGCTCCCTGGCAAGCAGAGAGCCCGATGCGGGGCTCGATCCCAGGACCCTGAGATCATGGGTGATACAGCAGAGCAGGGAACCAAAGGCAGAGGCTTTAACCCACTGAGCCACCCAGGCACCCCTACTACTCAGTATTTTAACATACCAAACATGTTTCAAGAACTGTGAAAGTTGGTCTTATGGTCAACCTGGTTGGAAGGTATTTTGTAGATGTGGTTAGTATTTCTCCAAGAAGCTGACTTTATATAAAGGAGATTACCCATAATTGTGTGGGTAGGACTCATCTACTTAGCTGTAGGCTTAAGAACAAAAACTGAGGTTTCCCAGAGAAGGAATATCTGCCTCAAGCCTGACAGCATCAATGCCTGCCTGACGTTCCAGCCTGTCAGCCTGACCTACAAATTCTGGACTTATTAATCCCTACAACTTCATGAGCCAATTCCTTCAAATAAATCTTTTTTTTTTTAAGCATTTTATTTTTTTAAGATATTATTTTTTATTTGACAGACAGAGATCATAAGGAGGTGGAGAGGTAGGCAGAGAGAGGGAGAGGAGGAAGCAGGCTCCCCACTGAGCAGAGAGCCCGACGTGGGGCTCGATCCCAGAACCCTGAGATCATGACCCGAGCCGAAGGCAGAGGCCTAACCCACTGAGCCACCCAGGCACCCCCAAATAAATCTCTTTTGAAACACACACACACACACAAACACACACACGCACACACATATACTGGCTCTGTTTCTCTGGGGAGCCCAAGACACCAACATACTCAGATTCAGACTGGTATTTTTTTTCCTTTTTGTTTTTGTTATTGTTTGTTTTTTAAAGATTTTATTTATTTAACAGAGAGAGACATAGGAAGAGAGGGAAAACAAGCAGGGGAGATGGAAAAGGGAGAAGCAGGCTCCCCGCTGAGCACAGAGCCCAATATGGAGCTGGATACCAGGACCCTGGGATCATGAGCAGAGCAGAACGCAGACACTTAATGACTGAGCCACTCAGGTGCCCCCCCCTTTTTTTTTAATAAGGGTTAACAGATGTCTGTTTCTTGTAACCTCTTCTTTAAAATATAAAAGCATTTTTTAAATGTTAAAGTATTTTAAATAAGTGCTCAGAAGGTTATTTTTAAGTTAGTACTTCCTCCACAACGCCAACAAACTAGCAATACCGCTATCACTGTGCTTTTCTTTACTAAAATACATAGGAGGGAAAAGAACAGTGATATTTCCTACATGGAATTTTTAAGCTCCAAAACTGATTTCCGAAGACTGTGAGAGTCTACTTTTTTTTCCTCACTGTCATGCCTTTGAAAGTATTTCCTCACTACCCGTTAGTGTAACATCACTGTGGGGAAAGTCAACCATCAGCCCAATCTCAAACACTGAGGAACCATACCATATAGATGTAGACCTTGCCCTACTTGGTGACATTTGCAAAATCAAGCTGAGTATTCTCCAGCTCTAATTTTTATTGTTGATCCATCAACTGGTGAATCTTCAACAGTGACATAGAAAAAGATTTCTGAATCACTACACACAAAACTACTAAGGATCTAAATCACACACTTAGTGACATTAGTTCACACACTGGTGCCATTCAAAAAACATTATGATACATGATAACTAGAAACTTGTTCTGTAAAGAGGCC